TATGTAAAGTTGTAATATTTGCATAAAAAATTATGTAATATTTACACTCAATGTAATAATTGCATAATTTTTGTATGATTTTTGCAAAATATTATGGGGCCTGCCGCAAACTTACATAAATAGTGTAATAATTATATAAATCCGCATCAGAAAAAATTCCCTGATGAACCAATTTTCAACCAATTATCTTCATCTTTTTGATCATTTGAGCCCAAACATTAGATTAAAATAGGAATAGAGATACTGACGACGTTGGTATCATTATTGTGTGTTGCTTGGGGGGATGGCTGGCTGGTTTTGAGAGATGTCATTTACAATACACAAGATTGGGATCAATCCTTGAGCAATTTAAATTTTTCTTTGAATGCTTGGATATTTTTTAAAGATAATGATTCAATGACTTTAAGTGTGTCAGTGTCAATTGCTGATAACAATGTGATTGTGGCAATTCAATTACTGAAGAATTGTCATTGCTGTTGCCATTCTCATTGGACAAGCATTCTTTTTCATTTGAACTAAAATCAATACTTGAGCAATTTAAATCTTTCTTCGAGTAAGATGCTTTGAATTCTTCAATATTTTTTAGCGACAATAATACAATCGCTTGAAGTATGTCAGTATCAATTGCTGACAATAATGATTGGAATGATGAAGAATAGTCATTGCCATTACGCTCATTCTCATTGGACAAGTATTATGATTCGATTGTTTTTGAGTTCTTCAGTGTTGTTGGACGACGACGATGATTTGATTGCTTTAATTTTTTCACTATTTTCACATGATGATGATGATGATCCGATCGCCTCAAGTTTTCAGTATTTTCAGACAACAATGGTGATTTAATCGCTTCAATTTTTTCAGTGTTATCAGATGACGATAGTTTGAATGATTGAATTGATTTGATAAATCGAAGCATATTGGCGTTGATTGTAGATAAAAATGATGATAGTGAAAAAAATTTGTTATCATGCTGTTCAATTACAGCAATATTATCGGTAGCAATTCCTGGTTCAAGTTGTGTATCTTGCATTGTCATCAAAATACTTTCTTGATTTTGCTCATCATTGATTTTATTTTTAATAATTTCAGTGTTGTCAAATGATGATGATGATTCGATTGCTTGGATTGATTCGATAACTTGAAGCATATTGGTTGTAGATAAAAATGATAATAGTGACAACAATTCTTTATCATGCTGTTTAATCACAGCAACATTATCGGTAATGATTTCAGGTTTCACCATCGACTTCAGTTTTGTAATCTAAGCCAACATCATAATTTGATTCATCATCTAAGCCAACATCACAATTTAGCTCAGATGTCAAATCAGATTGTGATATTAACTTGGATGACGAATCAAATTATGATGTTGGTCTCTCAACTATAAATCAACAAGAATAGAACTGTCAAGAGTGTTGATTTCGGATAAAGATGGTAATTATTCATCAACTTGTGGGTATAGCAACTCCATTAAAACAGTTACCAAATATCAAGAAGAATGACAATGTTAGCTGTTGTAAACATAACAGTTATGTTGATTTCAACTTTTTTTTTTTTGTAAAAGGTGTAAAAACGTGTTTGTTTATTTAAAAAGTTTTCTTTTAGAAAAAAGGTTTTGATGAAAATTTTTTAAGAAAAGTTTTTTTAAAGTTTATGAGAGGTTTTCATGAGAGTTTTATAAGGTAAAATTCATGGGAGATTTTTTTTGGGAAAAAAAAGATGTGTTTATCAATTATATCGATCAATTATCGGACAATTGGTATTGAAACAAATTTAATACATTAGGTTAAAATAAGACCAGAACAAACATGTAAAATCTTAGATGCAGTGACTAACTTAATGTAATTGATGATACTTTGTTGTAATATAGTAATAAGGGATTATTGATCAATTATCAACATATTAGGTTATAACAATAACAAAAATGTGACTAATTTAATGTGACAATTTTTGTTAATTTACCCATAAATATAAAGGATTTTTCCCACGATGAACTCTCTTCAGTTATAATTTGCCCATCATTGCATTACAATGACAATTATTACTGTTTTTATACAACAATTAAAGAAAAATCTACATGAGAGTAAAAAAAAATAATGCTACTTACTACTTTAACCCGTCCATTATTTTTAATTCCTTCGTCAGTATCACTTTACGTATTTCTGAACGAAATGTTTTATAATTTTCCTACTAGATAAAAATGCTTGATATTTCCACGGGTTTATAATGTCATTATATAAAATTAAGGAAAATAATATTTACCTTTCGGTCATTAATATTAATTAGTCAATTTAATTATCAATTTCGTCAAGTATGACAAGTCAAAGAAAAAGATATTTTGTCAATGCGTGATATTTTTTTCTCACATTTATAAAAATTAAAAAATGTTTCAAAAAATGTTTCAATATAATTAATTATATTACTACCAACATCATAATTACAATATTTACTACATTTAACACGGTTTATTTATAAATTTATCTCTTAAACGGTCAAAGTAGTATTCTTTAATGGTAACACAAAATGATTTTTTGATCACGACCTTGCATCCTTATTGGCCAATTTAACGATATGTAAAGTAAAAATAGTCAATCGACCAACTTTTAAGGAAGATTTTACAAAAACCACAAGGACAACAACCGAATTTTTATTCACAGTTCAATCAGCTAAATCTCAAAGATCATTTTCGTATTAGGAAGTGGTACCTTCAGAAAAAGTTTTTTATAACAGGAAAAAAAAATTTCTGCTATCAATAGCCGAAAAACCGTTTAAGGGATTTATGCATTTGTTACACGATTCTAAAATTGCATATTAATATAGGGCTGGGAAAACACTATGATTCGAAAGTACTTTAAAAAAAAGAATGTGACCGCCTCAGCATAGTGGAAATTTGAAATGTTACACTAATTTTTTATATTGTGCAACGTAGCTTTAAAATACACGGCAAACATTCTGGCAATAAAAAGTAAGTGATAAACTGGATTTGAATTTGATCCGAACTTGATCTCCAATTTAGAGAGGTAACAACTATACACTGGCGAAGTTTCAGAAGCAATGAGTTCTGTACAACATTTAGTGTAACAACAAACTTCCACTATGCTAATCTTTGTAAATCTGGATGATTTTCAATGCCTAATCAAGTTAATTATATTTAAATTTAGGAAATATTATTCCATCATGTATTAGTATATATTTTTGCCGACAAATGTGCCAGTATTTACTTTTTGAAATTGCCTGAAAAACCGGATATCTTTTGCATGCAATAATGAATCTATTTTTTTATTATGTCATCATGAAACCTTCCTCCAGAACGATCTTTTGTGAAGCTGTCAAATCTCTGTGTTTTCTCAATTTTCCACTATTAGAAAAAAAGTTATGACAATGTGCTTTTTGAGACATGAAGAGGAGGTGAACGAACCTCATAAAACAAAAATTCAATTGGGTTAATTTACATATTCACTCTTTCAACAATGTATAGAATGAACAAGTTTGATTTTTTGAACCAACTTCTGTATTGATATTTATGTTATTCAAACATTTTTTGGCAGATGGAAACATGTTTTTTATCGATATGTAATTGCTAGATGAAAAATGCTGTGAAAAGGGAGGTTAATTTTATTGATCTGATATATATTAAAGGTTGGCCAAACCATAATTATAGTCAAAGAATTTCCTTCTATTATTTTTATTCTCGATAATTATGAAAATACAATACTCAAGGGAAAGAACTGCTGAGAAAACGTTACTGGAAGTGAAATAAGGAAACTTGCCCTGTACATAGTTAAATAGTTTGAGCGATATAGTAAGAGAAAGTAATCAAAAAATTACATAACCGGATACTGCCATAAAACGAAATAAATATTAGTTTAACCAAATCCAAGAGATTTGTGTGAGACGCGGATTTTGATCTCACAATAGTGTGGAACAAAACATCAAGTTGGGTGCAATTGAGTCAGCCCGACTATTCAAGGGTGAACATGATTCAGAAATACCTTCATAAGACATCCAATATGCCAAAAACTTTGAAGAATATGCTCAGTGGTTTGATCAAATGATTATTTTTGCTGAATCAATGCCTTTTTTTATATATGGGTGTAATTGATAACAATAATGAATTTTTACATAAATTAATAACTTTTTAGTCATAACCTGGCCATTTAGTCATTTTCTGGCTAAATAGTCGGAATATGGCTCATCGACATTATTTCTTACTAAATAAAGTTAAAATAAATAAATAGAAAAATAAAAATAGGATTAAATAATATATATATTAAAAATACACAGATAAAAATAAAAAAAAAAATAAATAATTCAAAATTATAATATTCAGCTAGTAAATCAGCACTAATTTCGAGTTCCAGCAACATTATTATGTTCAAAATATCTTCCAAATAGATTATAACAATAAAATTAATTATAGTTTATTTATATTTTTATTATTTATGTATTTTTAACATAAAAAGGATTATCTTCTAAGAAATAAAGGTAATTTGTATTTTTACAATAATTAAAGTATCTGTTCGAAATACTTATAATTTATCTTGTTGAAAAGTAACTCTTACAATTGTAAAAATTTATATTTTACAAAATAATCAATTTTTGAAACTTAAAAATTAATTTATATATAATGATTATTACATTAAGGTAAATAACTTTATTTGTAAAATTATGTACAAACCTATCCCCTTCAATAAGATTACAAAATGCACCAATATATTCAAATAATTGCTTGATTGACCTTGAAATATGTAATGATGTGATTGGTCCAGCCTTGGATTCCATGTAATCACTCTGGCAATTTTTTATCTTTGTATTTTTTCAATACAATTAATTATATATCTTGGTTAAAATAAAAAATAAAATAAACAAATATTGCTATTTAATACTTTCCTCATGTGTGAATTCCTTTCTTCCCAATGATTATTCAATACATTTGATATCATTTTTGACATAACAAACAATTGCATCACCCAAGTAGTAATAACGCCAAGGCCATGCATAAATGAAACTTTTAATAATGTGTGTCTGCCCAGATCTCTGGGTTCACAAGAATAAATAAATAAATAGGAAGGATTAAAAAAAATACTTTCCTTCCCATTGTATGATTTCTTATGAATAATAAATCTGATGATAATAACAGGTGTCAGATTTAATAAAATTTCCTATTGCAAACATGTGGTTGTGTGCTTTTGCACACCCCATAACCATGAAATTTTCTCCATAGGTGAGGCCCCCCACATGTTGGAAGACTTTTTCAAGGTTGGCAAAAGACTCCCCTTCAGACCAGGCTTGATTGTTACCAAATGAGCATTGATTGTTGATGAGAGTTGGCACCAGTGTAGGAAATTCAATGCCCAGGTGTAACATCATACACTAGTAATTTCCTGCAGATAGTTTTTAAATTTGTAGAAATCTGCATTAGTTACAAAATTCCAACATTGGTTGGCACTTACTTATGTGATGATTTCTGTGTGTTACCTCCCTCACCTAGAATAAAGTTGTAATTTCTTACCAAAAATTATACTAACATTAAAACCCTTTGATCAGGTTGCAAGCAACCTCCAGAGTGCGATTTGTTGGTTGCAGAGCCATCCATCTTTACCCTAGAGGTAGGATCATTGCAGACAACTTTTTGGCCAGCATACTATATCCGTGTAACACCAGTCCAGACACTGTGAGGAAAATTAGGTAGGATTCGTGAAAATGCCTTGACAATGATGCAATCTTTTGGTAAACTCCAGAGCCATGCGACCCCCCCCTGGAACTTAATTGCATCGTCATATCATCGGGCGAAACTTGGTCAGATTAGCCTTGTGTACATGAGGAACGTGAAAGAATGACTGTAATGTCTTCAAGATAGCATATGTGCTTTCAATTATGCTGCCTTGTCATTTTCTTATAATTATGTATTATTATTTAATAATATTAATATAAGTTACGAAAAGCAAAACGATACCAATAGTTTATTTATTTATCATGAATCTTGTAATAAATACCTAAAGAGACGCCACAAGTTCTGCTCCGTGTTTTGATTTCAATATACATTTATAAATAATACACACATCAACACGAAAATAAAAGTACCTCTCACTATTAATAAAAAACAGGTCTTCAGAACAAGCCCTATCAAAGTAACATTCATGTTTCCTCGTCCAAAAAAAAAAAAAAAAAAAAATAATTCTTTGTACAACCCATACGCGCGTAAAACGTCATAGGAGGACATTCATATGATTGGTCAGATAT